CGGCAACCTTCTTAATATGAGAGGCTACCAATAATTATGGTCAATTTTGGTCAAGCTAAAAATGATTAAGACAATGGTTATTAAAAGTAATTTTGAACTGCCATTTTGTTATTAATGGTCCAATTTCTATTTTCTTTATATGTTTTTTCAAGACCTGCAAAATGATACCAAACTCGACTATAATACTTGCTATTTGAAAATTTTGAGCTACCCCCTACCCCCACTAGGTACCCCTAAGGGCGAAATTCTCAAAACTGACCATAACTGGATTTGATGAAATCTCAAATAAAATCATCAAACATTGTCAACAAGAAATTGCTTCTCCTCTACTCCACATCATCAACTCTCCAATAGACCAAGCAATAGTACCGAACAGAATGAAATTGGCTACAGAGTCTACCCTAAGCACAAGAAAGGCGACAACACTTGCATGGAAAACTATACAGACCCATATCAGTATTACCAACATTATCCAAATACCTTGAGAAGATTATCTACTTTCGAATTATGGAACATTTAAATAAACTAGAAATACTCTCACAACAACAACACGGCTTCAGGAAGAATAAGTCCATCAACACCGCCCTCAACAAACTTTGCGAAACAATCACCTCCTTTTGGGAAAACAAACAACATGCCTCTGCAATCTTTTTAGATTTGCAAAAAGCTTTTGACAGTTTGGACCACAATATTCTAATAAATAAGTTGGAGCAATTAAATATTACAGGAAAAGCCCTAAATTGGATCAAAAACTATTTTGCGGACCGAAAACAACAAGTTGAAGTAATTCACTATAAAAACAACATCGAAACAAAAATTAAATCATCTACAAAACTCACCGAACGAGGAATCCCACAGGGCTCTGTCCTGGGACCTTTGTATTTCATCATCTATATCAACAACTTCCCAGACTATATGTCAACAGATAAAACTTGTATTATGTTTGCGGATGATACGACTATTCTCTACCCAGTATCTACAATACCTAATAATGAAACAGAAGAAACCTTACAACTAGCTTCAGAAGTATGTTCCTCACTGAACCTCAAGATAAATAAAACTAAAACAGTCAATATAAACTTCTCAACAAAAAAACAGACTAACCCTCAGACTACAAGCTCAACATCAATCACAACTGTATCAGAAACAAAATTCTTAGGAGTCTTTTTGGATGAAAACTTATCCTGGCAAAAGCATATTGAACATCTAGAAAATAAGCTGTTGTCAGCAACATTCGCAATAAGAAGAATATGCTCTATAACAAACAAAAAAACTGCAAAAATCGCATATTTTGCATTATTTGAAAGCCATTTAAGATTCTGCATCATAGCTTGGGGATCTGCTGCAGACCATCTCATACAACAACTGCTTACAATACAAAAGAGGGCCATAAGAACAATAGAACAGCTTCAATATGACGAACATTGCAAACCATTCTTCATATCCAATGAAATCCTTACCCTACCATCCCTCTACATCCTGGAAACCATAAAATTTTTGAAACTCAACCCCCCAAAAGTCAGAAATGATTGCCACAAACTTAATTTAAGAAACTCGAAACTTAACTATAATGTTCAACAACACAGACTTACCAAAACTAGTAAAAATCCTCAAATAATAGGGTCAAAGCTATTTAATATGTTACCAGAGAATTTAAAACTAATCCACAATGACAAAACTTTCTTGAAAAAACTAAAACAATATTTGCTAAACAAACCATATTACAACCTAAATGAATTTTACGTAGATCACAGCATCTACAATAGACTAAACCATTAAACTGCTCACAACCTACACTAATACACAAATACATATATACACATAACAAAAGAAGAATGACGATTCCCTGGTCTCAACGACTACGGTGAAGAGGATCTAGGTAAAGGTAAAGGTAAAGGTAACTATTGTAGCCCTTCATATCCAAACAAGTAGTCGCAAACCGGTTTCAAATATCTCAAATAGTTAAAAAGTTAAAGGGGGTGCAAGTTAATTTTTGCCACCCTCATGGTTGGATTTGAACGTTTTATGGAGCCATTTTGTTATTAGTCGGCCGATTTTGGGTTTTTTTATGTCAATTTTATGTTTTCGTCAAGCCCTGTAAAATTATACCAAATCGACTATACTTGTCGTTCGAAAATGCTGAGCTACCCCCTACCCTCACTACTCCTAAGGGCAATATTTTCAAAATTGGCCATAATTATTGTAGCCCCTCATATATATCTAAGAAGGTTGCCACAAACAGATTTCAAATATCTCAAATGGTTGAAAAGTTAAGGGGGGTGTAATTTATTTTCAGCCACCCTGCTATACATAGCTTATAATCGGGAATTTGTTCCATAGCTTACAATAAACACTTACAATGGCTTACAATCTTGAAAATGCGGCATACCTAGGTAGCTTATAACATAGACAAAAATAGACGGTACTCCTCAAGTATCTGATCAATCATATTTTGTAGATTCAAAAGAAATCCTGCAGTACAGTAATGATGAAATTGAAAAACAGTTATTATACTACAATTAATTTTTTGGACTGGCATTTCAAAATTCAATTTAAAAATAACAATAATAATTATCTGTTTTATATTTGCTTTTAGCGAATTTCCCTTTTAGGGAATATAGTATTGCAGGTCTCATATTATGGTAAGACCTAGACCCAGGACCGATATGGTTAACTTTTTCGAACAGTCATCCGTGCGAAAATGTAAATATGTGTAAATACTGCTGGTGTTATGTAACTGTGCTCATGAAGATGCCACACCTGTGGCGAAATAATCATAGAGCAAGAAATAAAAATGTTTTTTAAATTTTTTCAAGAATCTGGCAACCATAAGGTAAACCAACTTATTAATTATTCGTTCTTGAAGCTGGAATAATACACAAATTATAAAAATGCCAGGAGATTCTTTTTTGTAGGATCACGGAAACAGCCGGGGGGGGGGGGGGGTGGAACGCTCTTATTATCTTCCCTCTTCGCAACTAAAAAGGTCTATTTTTTCAGAGTCAACAACATGCCATATCCTGCATTCTGGGGACAACCAAGATCCACACGATCCCGGAATCTGAATGGTGAGGGGGGGGGGGCTTGAAGGTACCATTTCTGTTTTTTTTCTTAGATCTCGGAAACCATGCTTCCTAGCGAAATGACTGTCCGCTCCAGCACAAAATGAAGGCTTATAACATTTATAAAAGGTATGCGTTCTGTCATCTTAGATAGTTGTTGTGTTATTCACTAACCAATTTATGTAAATTTAGAAAATACAATATTTCCTCTTGCGATTGGTTCTTTTTGACGAGATTGCTGTTAAACTATTCTACCCACTAATAAAAGAATTCCAGGCATAGGGATGTGGAAAATCAATGTTTTCTTTAGTTAAACATTTGATTTAGTTTGTTTACAGTTTCTGTTCAGATTTTGACAAAAATAAAGGTAACCATCAGATAAAAATGTTAATTTACTTAAAACTTAAAAAATTGAAATGTGGCGTTGAGTAAGAAATTTTAAGTTTGACACTGTTGGTGACTTTTGTAATATTTCAGCTGTTTATTTGAACAACTTTGGAACAAAGATAAATCACATGGTAAAATAAAATGAGTTCACGTAATAGCTATTTACATTACAAGTGTAGTAAGAGCGTTTTTACATCACGCAGGTGAAAGTTGCATAATTTACCTAAGTGATGTAAACACGCTCTTGCGTAACGTGTAACGTACAAGATTTTACCTGACCCGACAATATACAGGAGGTTACGAACAATATTTTTCATTACCCATTTCACTCATCTTATAACAGCGGTGGGGCACACGGAAGATTTCTCAGGTGCCGTATGACGTCACTAACTGCTGACGTCACTAACTGCTGCGTCTGAAGAAACAGACAATTTTATAATTTTCTATTATTAAATTAAACTGTCATAACCTAACCAAACTAACCAAACGTGCTGATAATGGAAAAATCGAATAAAGGTTTACTAATCTAAAAAATAGTTTTGTTCATAAAATAAAATTATAATTGCCTAAAATTCAATTTTATAATTTTTTTATTATAAAATTAAACTGTCATAACCTAACCAAACCAACCAAATTTGCTGATATGAAAAAAATGTTGATAAAAAGTTAGTGCCGCCGGCGGGATTCGAACCCGGAAAATTCGGATTTTCAGCCCGCAACGCTATCCACTGCACCACCGAGGCCGATGGCTCTAACCGCATCGTTGCTGTATTGGTGTTCCCTCAAAGTGACGTCAGCTGTTGGTGACGTCAAACGGCACCTGAGAAATCTTCCGTGTGCCGTTTCGCTTATCACAGTAAGGTTCATTTACAAACAAAAGCTAGGTTAGGAAAATTCTCCAAAACATAACAATAACAATAAAATTCAAGCACACAGCTGATTTCTAGCGTTAAACGTCGTTGGCTCCATAGAGTTATATTTTTTAAGTTATCCACTCAATGTTATTTAAATGGGTTTCATTACATCACCGAGTGAGTTTTTTGATACTTTACATCACTCGAGAAGTAAGGAAGTTGTATACATCACGCTTGGGATAGGGAAGTTTAACATGGCGGGTTAGGTAAAGTATTGCATCCAGCGTACATTACCATTGAGTAAATTATTGCCATATCTGTGTAGATAGGACTATCCCCTATGGGCCATCCTGATTTGTTTTCATCTTATTTTTATCCAACAAAACTCTTTCCGTCAGTGGTCACAGAAACCCGTTTTTAAAGAAGTTTGATTTTAAATAAGTATGGCGTTTGATTACAAGTCAAAAAATAATTTATAAAATTACTACTACTTATTTAATCAACGTTAAAATGATTGATATTGAAAAGTATTTTAATTATAGTATCAGCAACGTTATTGACTTTAATCAGCGCTTAGTGGGAGTAAATGGAAACCGCCTTTAGGAAATGAAATGCATTGCATGAAGGTTATGGAAATGAAACAGAACAGTCTTCTATCTGTTGGGCATTGGGCTTTGGGCTATTCTTCTTTTCTACTTGCTTTCATTTTGCTACTTGTTGATTGTTGTCAGAAATATGTAAACATTTGGTGATTTATTTAGTTTTGGTTTGTTTTACTGTTCTGTAAGTCATGTTATAAGTTTAAAGAAATCATATACATCTTAAGGTAGTAATTTTACTTTATAAATATTCCGTTTTTTACCTCGCGAAGGTTAGGCCTGCTTTACTTTATGCCTTTGTAGCCTACCAGTCTTCTCAGATCCAAGTTAGGCTATTTATAGCTTAGTTCTGTTTGTCTTGTACTGTAATGCAATTTAGAATTATTTAACCATTTAATAACATACTGTTTTAATGTTTTGGAATTTTAATTGTGACTATGATAATAGGCTCTATTTATCTGCCTGTTGTAATGGTTTGGATTTCTCGGGTAAACGAGCATAAGTTAAACCTAGGCTAGTCTCTTTCGTTTACTCTTTGCAGTCATCAGATCAGTCATTACATTAAGTTAGGCTGCACTTTAGTTTACGTTCTACACTCATTCAAATGAATATCGAATAATATTTAGGACTAACTTAAGTTTATATAGGCCTTGGCCTATTCGATATCAATATAGGCCTAATGAATGTAGTAGGGACGTAAACTACAGTGCAGCCTTAAGTTGGTGAAGCTTGGGCCAATGCAACTTTGATAGGTATAGGTCCTAGGCTACAACTCCATCGATTTAGCCTTTTACAAATTTCTAACCAAAAACTAGGCCTATCAGTAATTTAGGGTCTAGGCCTACCCTATTTAAAGTAGGCTTATCAATTTATGACTAGGCCCATGCTACTGTACTTATGGTAGTCACGTAGGCCTAGTCCTATATTTATAGGCTAATGGTTTTTAATTCTTCATTCTCAAAGTTTTGACTTTAAGCCTACTGGTAATTTAATTGAAGTTACTTAGTGGTACTTCCCTTCTGTCAAAGGTGGGGATTTGGTCATAAGTTAACTTAACCCTTCCCGGACTGGCGAAATCGTGACATGGAACAGGAAAAAATTACAGGAAAAAAATAAAAATTAATTTTCCTTGTGTTTTGTTATACAAGTAGGTAGGGCCTAGGCCTATACTTAAAATAAACACAATGGAACACTTCATACTGTCAAAATAACTTAATTTTTTACTTGTTTTTAACTAAGTTATACGATAGGCCTATATATCTGCGGATGAGGATGACCATCACAACGTTAGGCAATAAATAAAGACAACGTAGTGTTGAGCGCGAATCGTCAAGGTGGGAGCGAAGGAGAGGTAGCTGGTGTGCGGGAGAGGGGTAGGCGTGGTAGAGAGGGGGGAGTGTGGAAGAGTAGAGCACAGCCATTGCTGGAGAGAGCAGGAAAGTAGCATTGGAACTGCGGAACATCTGGTTACTGCTCAAGCACCTGCCAGTCTGTCTGAAGAGAAGGCGGATATATCCACTTCCCGTCCGGAACATCAAAAACCATAAGCGGATATATCCGCCACCCGTCCTTTATCGCCAAAGACTTAGGCGGATATATCCGTCACCCGTCCATGAAGGGTTAACTTAGTGATGATAATTTTGCTCAAGTATCACGCTAATGACACACATTTTTAAATATGAATTTGAATGAAATGGTGTTTTGGCTTCATGGGACCTAAAAAAAAATTGGTTCTCAGTCCAGGTAAATTACCTTTAGACCTACCTACGGTAAGTTATACCCCTTTAAGCTTATTTCCTGCAGCTTATTCATAACTGTAACTTATAACTTTAACCTTATAGGTGTAACGGGCCATATGTGTAGGGGGTAAAATACAGTTAAACCACAAAACTTAAACAGCTAGATGAAAGCTGTTGTGGAGCCCTAGTCAAGACTCTAAACTGACATCATAGGCCTACCTAACCTCTAATTCCAGGACCGCAGACGACGTCAGTGTCAGTTGGTTGTTTGACGAGCTTGTGAAAAGCTCCGGGAGAAAAAAAGGTGGGCAAGCCGCCTTTTTGTGATTTCGGCGCTTGAATCAACGGTTTGTGCGTGCCTTCGCTGCCAGTTTTTTTTTTCTGTTTCTGTAACTCGTGGACCAATCAGCGGGTGATTTAACCTTTGTCTCGATTTGTGACATATAGGTGAAGTGTTCACTGTGATTCTCTTTCTTGTCCTGGCTGAAATTTGAAGTGAACGCTTTTTCAAGTTCGTCGTCGTTTCGATAATTAATTCGTCTCGTAACGCCGTAAGCTCTGAAGGTTTGAATTTCTAGTTTTGTGCATCGTGTGCGCGTAAAATCGTTTTAGAGGATTATTCTTTTTTGTCGTTTGGTAAGTTGTGAAATAAACCATTTAGGTTTTCGTACATTAACCCATTGGGGAAGGAATTAATGCGCTACCTGCAGCACCCTCTGGCGGCAATTAATTTTACCGAGTTTGTAGACTTTTACTCTAACTGCTATAGAAAGAAAACCTTGGATAATAAATTGTTAATTCTTTCACCATTTTGTTCACAGTAAAATTGTCTACAGAAAAGTGGTAATTGGATAGTCAAAGTTCTAAACTAAAAAAAATATATATATAGGGAAAGATTATAAGAATAAAATTTTTAAAAACAATATTTTGAAAGTAAACTTGATATACAAATTCCAAGATTAATCCAGACACCAAATAACACTACTATTATAAAGTTCAATCGATTCCCTACGTAGAAAAATCAAAAGTTGTGTACTTTTATAAGTAATAACATTTAAAAAAAATTGTTTGTTTACCTTACCACAGCTGATTTTTGGTGATATGTGGTTCCCATGGCAACACAAAATTGTTTGTTATTCGCTAAAATAAATGAGTAAATACACAAATCAAGAAGCAAGATATTTATAAACATTATAATAGTAAGAAGAAACAAAAAGGGCGAAAAATAATAATAACTAAATAAAAATGGCGCTGCCTAGCGGTGACACGAGTGGCTCTCGTAAGTCGGCCGCCGGGCCTGCAGCGGCCGTACGAGTAACGCTCGTAAGTCGGCGCCAATGGGTTAAGTTACTTTAGCAGTTTTTAGTTGGTATAACTTTGCTGAAGTTTGCAGGCTTGGCCTGACTCCCAGAACTAGCCATACGTTTTAACCAACCAATTTAGTAAAATATTGCGGTTGTTTACTTACTTTCCGAATTAACGTTTCATAGCCTGTAGGCTATTGGGACTTTCTTTTTTAAGTTTTTAAATCTTCTTAAAGTTTGTCAAAGTCCCTAAGTTTGTCCCAGCAGACAGGTTTCTGCTAGACTAGTTTTGCTTAAGTTGACCACGTGAGTAAGTACAAGTTTTAGTTTTCGTTTTATGCTCGAGGAGCAGTTTTATTTTTCGTTTCTATTTTTCTCGTTTCTCACCAGGACAACTTAAGCCAGCTTGTGTTTTTTCGTGAATTCAGACTCTGTGGGACTTGGGCTAGGCCTATCTTAAGCTAACCTTTGTCTGCTTCAGTTCAACTTCTGTACATTAACTCCGTAGGTAAGCGGGTAGTTTACCAGTTGTCTAGTTAAGTAGCAAAGTAGAGTGTCAAGTAGTTATTGCCCACAGAGTCACGTCAAAATTATTGATTCCCCCACAAACTCCTCTGACTAGAGTGGTGATTAAAAGTGTGGTGTCTGGTAACCCGCTAAGTTCGTCCAAAAACCCGATAACCAAGGCTATCAAATTGAGGCTATCCTAATCACTATCGACCCTTGAGAAAATCCCGGCAACCCGACCCGTGCGATTCCTGGGACTTCGTTTATCGTACAGGTGGCGTAATTTCCCACGTTTCTTCTTCAGGAAAATTACGTCACATGACTATAGCTTATTCCCAGTAACTTATGGAGATTTCGCTTGAAGGTCCACGTTAGATAACTTAGTATCTTTCAAGACCAAAGTTTGGACCGATACCTTTCAAATTGTAAAAAACGCCATTTGCTCAGAAACGCTCACAAAAAATAAAAAATAAGATAATTGCTAACCCAAGATCTGGGACCAGTTACTGTAAGGTATTCAATCCAAAAAATGTTTTTTTCCTATATCAATGAAAGAGTTATATATTTTGTTTATTTTTTTTTTAGATTTTTAAGCACACAACTCAGCCTCAAGAGGTTAAAATGGCAGAAAGTTACCTAAGTTGTTCAGAAGACCAACCCAGAGATCTCACTGTTAAGACTGCCAAAAAAATGAAACCTATCCCTCCTCCATTGAACCTTTCTGCCGAAGAGAGGGAGAAAATGCCATTATCCATGCTCAAAGAGTTTGCTATCATCGCTACAAGTCCAAAGAGCCCACTGATGCAGAAACATCTGCCATTTAGGAAAAGGTACCTGTAGCCTATTAAAACATTAAGAATAGGCCTAGGCTATAGCCCTACTCCATGAAAATTCAGTATTCAATTATATTAGGTTACCTACAGCAATGAAACGAATTTAAAGTCTTCACACAATATTTACTCTTAATGAATGTTTTTTTACAAACTAAATATGTAAACATCAATTGAGAATCATTACTATTCTTACAAATGTCCACTTTAGTTCTTGTAGTTTTAAGTTCTACTTTGTGGAACAGTATCACTAAAGCTTAAGAATGATTTGCAGTTGAACAGGGGACCTAGTCCGAAATATGTACCTATACAGTCCACTGTTCTGTTTTTTGTCAGTTTTTTTAGATAAGCTTTTAATGCCTTATTTAGCCTATAATTTCCATCAGCCAGTTGTTTTGGTATTAGACTTTAAATAAATATTGTCTCAGAGCGCACAGCATACCTGTTAACCTGGCCAAAGCAGACGCTGAAGTGACGATTATTCCTCCGATAGCAGAGGAAAACACTGTCTCTACCTCGGAAAGCACTGTTCCTTCGTCACCTAGTATAAAATACTGCTCTGAACAAACAACAAGTGTCGTCTCTCCAGCCGTCTCTGGCCTACGATCTCATTTAGAACCGATCTCACATGATCTCACAGACAGCTTCGTCCTTGATCTCTCTACAAACGGCTCGGTGTTGCTAAGTCCTGCGCCTTCCTCGCTCGGTAGCAGCAGAGAAGAGTTGGCAGACTCCAGACTGGTTCACAGGTTTGGCTCTTGGAAGTGTCCGTGGCCGTCGCCCGTTTGGCATTGTTTCCAGTCAGGTGAGATTATTGTACAACCTAGGCTACTGTTTTAATCTCTTTCCATAAACAGGTATAAATCAGGCTGTTGTCAGCCATTGGTTTTATTTAGTAGCACACATTTATAAGGTTAAATGTTTAAAATACTTTGGGAAGTTGAGTGAAAAATTAAACTAGGTAGGCCAATGAGGTAACAAAAATTAAACAAGCTACAATTGAAGCAATACCTGCACACAGAGGAAACACTTTGCCTACTCTAAAATAACTATGTTATTTGTTCAATTCAAAGTCAAGTTTTGCTAATACGGACCAAACTGTGCTCAGAGTAGCGAAAATTCAAATGAGAGGGATTTTGCCATTGTCATTTGACTCTGAAGCGTTTTAAATATCTTTTGTTAAACATATTTTTGTGAAGCTCAGTAAAACACTCATGACTCAGTAGAATTTCATTTCCAGCATGTTAATCATGTTTGGCAGGTGTAAGAGTTAAAGTGGGAGGCTGCTGGCGACTCGTGGAACAGATGCCATCCTTTCCCAACGACTGGTCGGGAGAGCTGCTAGTGGAGCGAGTCACTCCCTCCCCTACTCCCCAGGTGGTCTGTTGCTCCCTCTCCTCCTACGGCGAGGTCATTGCAGAAGTCACCCCTTGCCACCCCTTCCTTGTCAAGGATCGTGGCTGGGTTGCCGTCTGCCCAGACAGTTTCCAGAAGCGCTACGGACTCAAGTGCCTGCCGCTGCAGCCGGGTGATGTAATACTGCATCCTCTCCTCCCATCGTCTCTCCCATTACCACTCCCCTCGCCTGACATCTGCGAGAGGATAAAGAGGTTAGATTGATAATAAGCTCCGGCTTTTGATAACATATGATTTTCACGTATTGATTACCTACTGTCAACAATATACCAATCTAACCTAGTATACCTTTTTTGACATGTATGAGATTGTCTTGTCAAATAGGCTGATACAGTTAAAAATAGCCCAAGTAAATTTTTACACTTTTGCACATACTCACTTTCGCCTAGTCAGTTTCAAAAGGCACAGTGTTCCCTGAATAAATAATGTAAACAACCCATTTGATCAGTTGTGTTTAAGGAAAGGCACTAGGCCAGGGTTGTGATCCCTTAGAACAAAGGGATAGCAGCCTGTGTACATTAGAAAAATACCAGGTAGTCCAAAGTGCATAGATATGATACAGAAAACACATTATAATCTTTTGTCTTCTGGGGCGCTTGGTCAAGTGAAGCTCTTTGTGCATACACTTTAAAAAGTCTTTCAGAGAAAAAAAAATGTATTTTGGTTTTCAGAGTCTTTATGTAGGCCTACCGTATGGCCTACCTGTGATTTTTTTTAGTTTTATGTAGCTGAGTGGTTATAGTGCTGGCCTTTAAACTGATAGAGAGTGAATGCTGAAAAACAACGCTGCTTTTATGTCCATATTAAAATATGTCCACAACATATTTTATTTACAATAACATAGGCTACATATTTTACAGTGACAAAGTGATTATGTGTAACGTCTATATATTTTCATTTAAATATAGATAAGTTTAATCAAATAATGAAATAACTTGTTTTACCTACAATTAGGCCTAAATGTCTAAGAAAATTGTGTCTTACTCTTTCATCTCTATCCAGCCAAGCCCCAGAGAGGTTTTAACATTTCTTCTTTTACTTAGCCTATTACAATTTCAACGTTCTAAGACTTTAATCGGTTCAGATTCAGTTTTCCAACCATGGAAGAGCCTCAACCTCAGTCTCCGGCGTTTCTACTCTCACCTCCGACGACTCCAACACGTAAAACTCAGGAGTCGGACAAACCCAAGCGGCCGATGAATGCCTTCATGCTGTTTGCAAAACGTTACCGGTTGGAGCTCATTCAAACTAACCCAGGAAAAGATAATAGGTAAGACATAGTTATTTTTGTGTTTCTAGTTGGTCTGTCTTGTGAATAGAGTTTGATCCTATGCACAAACATGTAAATGGTTTGAATTTGCCCATAACTGTTGGAGTATATAGGAACTCACTCACTCACTCCCATGGCCATTTAGGATTTGGCTGCATCAACAACTGCTCTCCATCTTTCTCTATCTCCTGCCTCTTCCACTGCTGCCCCACGTCTTTGGAGACACTATCCCACCATCTCTTCTTGGGCCTTCCTAGTGGTCCTCGTTTCCCTTATGGCTTTCCTATGCTTGCTTCTTTTAATAGTGAACCTTGTTCTCTCCGTAGTGCATGTCCTGTCCACCTTATTCTCCTTGCTTTCACGTGTGCTACTACATCATAATCATTATACATGACTTATTCCTTATCTCCCTATTATGCCTTTTTCTCACAAACATGATCAATTATGAAATGTATAACAAAATTTAAATGTTCAACAAGGCCAATATGTAGCCTTAATAATAAATCAATTTTAAATAATGTTAAAACCGATGAGGTATAGGATACCGTATTGGAAAAATATATAAATAATAAGTTTGGAAAAAATAAATCTTTTGAACTTTGGATATATTTTCCAAAAGCGCTGGTGAATAAAATAAATCAATACATATTGGCCTTGTTGAACATTTACATTTAGTTGAGTTATACATTTCATTTTTGAATGCCATAAAGTTAAACATGATCAAGTTAAAAATTTGTCAGTTATGCTTGTTTAAATTGAAATGTCAAACCAAAGATAAACATTGTGAGTTTTTACATCCTGCCATGGAGACCAATCAATATTTACTTTTGAAAACCTCACCTCAAAACTTTGGACATCCATGGGTCGAAGCCCGGGGGAACTCAGGGTGAATAGGCTTAAGGCCGGTGACACACTATCCGGTTTCGCCGGTCTGGTTTAAAAGGGACCTGTTTGGCGGGATGATTCAAACTCATGGGTTTTAATGGGAGCTGTCACATTGATGCGGTTGTGCAATGAAAATGGTGTACCCAATAACGCCTACGTAAGGTTTTTGCAACAAACCACTTGCTTCAAGAGCACAGACAAATTTCACTTTGGACAACATCGTAATGTTGTCGCTATCAACAGTGCACTGCATGTGATGCTCGCGCTCTTTACTCGAAATATGTTGCTGTAGAACGGGACAAGTGTGACAGGGGTTATGTCAATTCAATAAAAACCCATCCTGCTAAACCGGATAGTGTGTCACCGGCCTAAGACATTCCTAGATATATGGACCATCTTTGTGTGTAATTTCGGCTATATTGCCTTAGTAATTTGGTCGTAACAGCTGCACAGACAAATAGACGGACAGACAGACAGGCACCACCTAAACTTATAATATTGATGTCACTTAATTTTATCTTCCTCAAGCCAAACAGTTTCTGAGATTAGTATGATCATGGAATGAATACTTAATGTAGGCCTAGTGATAATAAATGCCTGAACTTAATCAAATTAAATTTATGAATTGAAATAATGCACCCAAACGGGCTTTAGCTGAGATGGCTGAGATATCTTTTCCCGCATCCTCAGAGACAATGTGATTGAAATTTTTGGAGACACTTGCAGTTGCAATATCCAGAGGATAACAGCTCGGCTCGGTTCAATTTCCTGACTTTTGCTTGATATCTCAAGCCTTTAGGCTAGGCTCCAAACTTGAGTTTCTCAGGCCAAGACACAAGATGATAAGTTATTATTATAAACGAGGAGCTAAATTCACCGTTTTTACAGGGCCATCAGTGTAATATTGGGCGAGGCGTGGAGGATGCTTCCTCAAGAGGAGAGAGACAAGTATATTCAAGGTGCTAAGGATCTCTCAGAAGAGCAGAAACTGCTCCATCCGGATTGTTGGAAGAGGAAACGCTCCCATTCCACCAGTTAATCCACCAATGTAAAGAGTTCAACTGTTGTTCAGGTTCACGCTTTATCTCGCATTATTTTTCCTCGTCGCTTTTGCACGGCTATATATAATAGGAAGTGATGCTTATATTTTGATAATTACCTAGTTTTAAGCGTTAACATTGATTGTTGTGCAATGTGGTTAATATTGGTAAATATTGTTTCGCTCGCTAAATTTTCAAAACGTTGAATTGCAACTGAGTAGAGTGTTTTAATTTGATCGTGGTTGACTTTTTTAAAGTGAAAGAAACCTACCATAAAATATTTTACCCATCTTTACTTCATCTTTACAAGCTCAAAGCTGTTCGCATTAAATATTAAATTACTAATCACTATTTTAACCGTAGCATATTGATTGACTTAAGTCAAAATAGTCGTCTTAATCGTGGTATTTGAGATGGTATACTTTTTTATGGTAAGCAAAGATCAATTGATTCTTGTTTTTAAATGATCTCAATGACCTTTCTAATGTTCTCATGGTCTAATAGACCAAAAATATAGTTTAGATTTATTACGACTGCCAGTTTTTGTCACTTGAAGTGTGTTTTTAAATTCACAAAGTGGTACAGCAACCAGAACATAGGTGAAAGATCTCATTAAAATGTTAATTTATGTAGTCAAAACACAAATTTGCTTAATTGAAACACCTAGCAAAGGTTTAACATTAAAATAATAAATGTTATGTATCACTGCAGTGGTGTATTAGTACATTTTCCGTTGCGGGGCCCACCATTGTCGAAGAAAAACAGATCGTTTACAGCCCTGTCCCGCTCCACTACACCACTGCTTATCAGAAGAATCGTAGTGTATTTTCAGTGTATAAACTCGCTTGGTTCAAATATTCAAGCCATCACAGTATCACAGATAATTAGCATTTAATTTTGTGCCAAAGTTGAGAAGTTTTTATACTGAATGCTTTAAAATTTTTAATTTAACATTAATTTTTCTTTCTATTCTATACATTTTTGTCTTTTAAAATGTTTTACTTATTTTAAAATTATTTAATAAAAAAGCATTATAAATATACTACCAGTATCATCATTTTACTAAGAGTTTTCAAATAAGTAAGGTGTTTTATAAGAGTAAAATAATTGATAGGTAAAGTTAATGTTTGGGAAAGCCTGCTGATGTTTTACAGTCAAAAACTTAACTGAAAACATTCCTGATTGCCTGAAAAATCTAGACAAGGTAAATAATATGTTAGTTATTGATATTATTGTACAGATTTTATATATTTTATATTTTCAGTTTTAACGCTAAGTAGTAGGTAGAATTTAGGCTTACTTGAAATAATTAGTGAATGGTAAAATTCATGTTTTGTATGTTATAACCTTGTGAAGAATGTGATTGTCAATGACAAAGTTGTACGGCACATGATTTAATTTGTTGCAAGTGTTTATGTCTGTGATTGAAGTTATTCATGTACTGATACCAAGTATTACAACTGTCATATGAGAAATTATGGCACACATACACACTTAACCCTTTGAGTGCCAACGTCCGGGGAACCGGACGTTTTTAAAACGAGCCAAAAGTGCCGACGTCCGGCCGACCGGACGTTTTTAGAACGAGCCAAAAGTGCCAACGTCCGGCTGACCGGACGTTTCGTAATGATCGAACAGTTGTCATAACAACCGAATGGATACTCGGATTCTTTTAACCCATATATTAACATTGAGTCGAAAGTTACTAGATGCGATACATCGATTTTCGTTGGTCAAAATATCGAAAAATTCGATTTTTACGAAATTTTAACCTAAAAATCGCCAGATCGCGCTCGGCATTTTTAGCGCGACCTTCGGGAAAAATCATCGGCATTTTTTGAGCATTACTTTTATTTCTCGCCTGGCACTCTAAGGGTTAAACGCTTTTGTCCTATAAACATAACTTAAAGCACTGTCACACGGAGCTTGTTTTAGCAGCTAGTTCTCGCTGCCAGATCCAGCAGCTTTAGTTGCTATTTCTTCAGAGCGCTAGCTGGAGCGTTACAACTTACAAGTCTAGTGATGTAATTGGGACGGTGGGTGTAGTTAACAAAAATAATGTTGTCTGTTGGTATTAGAAGTTATGTTTTGTCTATGATCTGCCATCATAAAAGTAAAAGAGTGCAAGTGGAAAAAAATGCAATGTTAATGTTTAACACTATTATTTTTTATCTATACAGGCATGCAAATTACAAATTGATTCAATAAGTTGTGGTTGGCCTACAACAAAAGTTCTTTATCTTTTATCAACACAAAAACACATTCATTTAGTTAATATAGGTGAGATGTAGCAATCATAACAAGAAAATTATGGTAATGCATAACAAAATTTCCAAACATGAAGTTTTAAATTTGTTCTTGATTAGTTTCAATGTATTAAATTCATTTAAATTAAAAATACATTTTTTCTCACTGCGAGAACTATAGTCCTCGCCACCCTAACTTGAGGCAGCCCAAGGCCGCACGCCATATATCTAGTGCAGCCTTGGGCTGCCTCAATTTAGGGTGGCGAGGACTATAGCATGATGCACTATACTGTCATACTGAGCTGGAATGGCACTAGAAACCAAAATGGGTCACATGACCTGCTAGTGACTCTTCAAGCACTTGTAATATTAAACTGTTAAATAGCTAGAAATACCAGCTCATGCGAGTGTTTCTAGCAGCTGAAGATTCAGTCATACGATGCTGATTTTATGCTGGTTCTAGCTGCTAGTTACTAGTGGTGAAAAAACCAGCTCCGTGTGACAGGAAGGGGCTTAAGCCTTGAAAAACATGGTAAAACTGCATACAAAATATAAAAATGGTTGTTAAAATTTAAAAATTGTTTTTGACAACAGCTGATACAAAATAAGTTCTTTAAAATGTCGCAAACTCTGGTGTAAATTTTGTTTTAGTTTATTTTTATATTGGTATTCACTTAAGTACTTTCAGGTACATGAATGGTATTTTATTGACTGAAGAGTCGTCTGAGGCTGAGGAGATAAAAAACATTACATTTTAAATCCCTCAATGTGTTTTTAATTCCATTAAATATCTTTTTAAGTTTTTAATAAAATTATGTCTAAAAAATAATTCAAAATGACAATTGATTGCGAAAACTTGGGTCTTTTCTGGACCGAATTAGGATGCATTTTGTATTATTAGTCTAACTACTTATATATTTAACAGGAAATTGAAATTATCTTTGTATGAAAGAGTGTTTTTCTTCTAGAAAAAAGGGTATTCGTTTCAAGAAATCTTGTAACAAACATACACATGTTATAGAGATGTTGTGCCTATAAGGTTGTCCCATTTAGACTAATTGGATACTTAACATTTCTGAGTGAGTTTGCATTTAAAAAAATAGCTTTGGATAAAAAATATTGAATAAAAATAATGATTTTGATCAAAGAAAGAGCACAGTTAGTTGTGTGCCTAGGTTGTAATGATAGATTTTTAGAACAAATTAAACATGAAAAATTGTGTCTTAAATTTTATACTTTTTGTACAAAGTATAAAATCCACTACAAATTTAAGTCTCTTTGTTGACAAAACATGATTATAGTGTGCCTAAAGAAATATTTTCTCATGTGATAAATAAACATAAATCCCAAGTTCATGTGATAAATAAATCCCAAGTTCTGTCAGAAACATAATAGTCACTATTACGAACCCGAAGACTAAAAGAACTGGAGTATCATGCCAAAAATTCGTTAATGTCAATGTTAAATCATTGACTACAGATAAAACAAGACATTTTATTCCCATGTAAAGTTGTTGAAGGATTTAGAAAAAAAAATTAAGTTAAATTGATCCATTGGCAGAGTGGCCTGACATACATTACTGATTTCAGTGATTTCGGTCAAATATGACAATTAATATCCCAATTCAAAGTGATTGGATTACTTGTCGTTAGCTGAAGCATCTTTATGTAACATCAACTAACTCAAAAAAAAAATCATTGAGAAAATATAATTTTAGACTTTACATTGTGTGAGTGACTCATTCAACTGTATTTTTTTATACAAAGATAGATTAGGCTACAGTTTGTCGATATAGCAAGACTTCTTCAGAATCCTAAAGTCAATGGTACGACCCATACGGCTTTATCCTAAACAACTGAACCAGTTACCCTTTATCTGGGTTCTAATAAATGGTCTTAGTTAAAAAGACCAGTATCAAAGCTATCTTAGCTTCCTCTAATACAAGGCTGTGGCGAGGCAAAAGTGCATTACCACTGTCCCAGCAAACTGAAACAGCTGATTAATTGCGTCTGCGCAATTTGTATGTTTGCATGTTTGTTATTGCTGTTATTACCAGTGGCAGTAGGCCGGCCGGTGTGACGTTGCCACAAGACTTTAGGAAGCTACCCATCCAAATCTACTGTAGATTTCCCAATGGTTAGATATGTGTGAAATATTTATCATGTTTAATTTATCTTTTACAAAATGGTGAGATAGGTACAAAGAATCTCCCTTATCTTAGCAGTGTCTACATTTTAGACGTGGATATGTTGTTTTTGACTTTTTGAACTACAGGTAGTCTGATTAAGGTTTGGATTAGAGCGACATAAGCCTGACATAAAATCAAAGTCTTATTTAGTATCAAATTTAGTTTTTGCTTTACAATAACAAACACTTATTTAGCAACAACTTTTAACTCTAATGATGTTACAATCTTGGCTCTCCAGTATTGAATAAACATGTGTTGTGGGTATGAAACTCCAGCACTTGACCTGAAATAATGACAGTATGTTACCTTTGACTTGAGTTGATGATTTGTATGATGAGATGTCTTTATCACAGCCACAGTGTTTTGTGATTAGCCTGGAATAGTGTAGTACAAAGTCCAGATATGTAACTGATCTCGAATCACAGTGTCTTTCATACTTTAAGATCGTTTTTAAACTTTGTGCTTAGATTTGAAGCTGGAAATGGCTAATAAAACAATTTTGATTCTTAAGTAACATAACAGGGTGTCCACATTCTGGAAAGTCAGGGATAGTCATGGAAAGTCATGGAAAAAAATTATGGTCATTGAAAGTCATGGAAATAGGCAAAAGGTCATGGAAAGTCATGGAAATCCCCAATGATGGATGGATTTCAGGGGACCTTTCAATGCTCTAGTCGGCCGTAACCGCGACTATTGTAGCATTTTTCCGAATTTTTCACAAATGTACGACAATTTCAATTTATACAGTTGTCTTAGTTTATGGGTTTTGAGTTTGTATTAGTTCATTGTTGTACCTATTGTACTCCATTGTTATCTGTTAATACATATTTCAATATTTTCTGTGAAATAACTTGTCTAGGCAGTATTATTCGTGTGTGTACGGTACATTATAATTTTTGAGTTAAGTTAGTGAGTCATGGAAATCAATGGTTAATGGTCATGGATAGTCATGGAAAGTCAGGGGAATTGATGACAACATTTCTGTGGACACCCTGCATAACGTAATGAATGACCTTAACAAATAACGAGTAACATTATTTTGATCCGTTATCTTGATGTTTTATTAAATGTGAATGTTGATAAAAACTGCATTTGAAGAATCATAGAAACAAATTGTATTGTACTTGCAAGTTAATTGATATGCTTGAACTTTCTCCCTCTTATAAGTAGGTTGTAAATATTGAAGCAGTATTAGTCAAAATATGGTACGCAAAACCATTTCAATATACTTGCTGGGTAATACATCATAGTTTTGTATTTAAAATTCAAGATATTTGCATAAACATTTTAAGATGAATCAAATTTGTTTTGTAATTTCACTTTTTTAGATTTTACCCTAACATAATGTTGGTTTAAATAAAGCCCAATTAACATAATATCCTGTTTACTTTTACAAGTTATTCCTATGTAACATTTCTGTACTTTTAAAAACTTGATTCAACTAATTGGAAACCTTGAAATATATTAATGTACTAATATTATTATTGATATTTAAAATCTTTACTGATGCATTTTTTTACAAGTAGCCTATGGCATATAAAATATGTCTATGTGTTCGTTGAAATATTTTAAATTCTCGTCTTCCGTTTCTATTGTATTCTCTTGGGTCCTAGAGCATTGGCATGACTTTGAATGAAGAAATATTTTTATATTGTGAATCGTGCCTGTTAAATTAAATTTTTCTCTCTAATTATTAATATGGTCTTTTATTCATTTTTAATGGAAGATTCCATAAAGAAAAGAAGCTATTACTATCACTATTGATGGGGGTTCGGTACTTCTTGAGTCCCAATTTGTAATGAAAACTAAAAAGATATTTTTTAATTTTAGAAATTACAACACTATACAAACTTAACAATTTATGATTCCTCAATTTTTTCATGCAAGGACCAAGGAGTTCACTTAAAGCCTTATGTAAAAATATATGGACATATTTGGTAAATAGCTTCATTTCTTTGAAACTTGTTGATATTAATTAAAAGTAACACTTGTACAATCAAATGTGCAGCAGACCTGGGTGATATTTTATTCGTATGTTATATTTTGAAAATAAATTAGTTAAGAATTCCTGGATGTTTTTGAAATATAATCAACAAAAATTGTAAAGTATTAAGTCAGCAATTAAAGAAAAATTTAAGTAGGTGCTTTATGATTAAAATTAGGCTAGGTTTGCTGCTACAGGTGTGTTTTAGATTTAATGATACATTTTATACTTTTATTTTGAGTTAAGTTTGCATATTAGCTGTAATGTTAATACCAAATTAGTTTTAGTTTTTATGTTACAACATTTGTTACTGATTTATTGTGTGTTAAAAGCTTTGAAATGTTTGCAACAGTATATAATTTTATAACATAATATTAGTTGAACAATAATAAAATTTGTTTATTAAATAATTGTTTAGTTGACTATTTACCTTCCAATAGAATTTCATTCGTATTAGTTCACAAGTGGTTAGCTTGGTTAGGAAGAGCTATTGCACTTTAAGTCCTCATAAAAACCCCTGTCTATTAGATTAAATCTGCATTATTTTTTTAGTTTCAGTGTTTTAAGCAGTTACAATTCAATTCAATTACTTTATTCTTGTCATGAACCAGTTTACAAAATTATTATAGTTTCTATCTCATATTCTTTCATGATGATTTCAATTTGCTAAGTAAAAAAATTTAATTTAAGAGCTTACTAGGTTAAAAAGTTCTAGGCCTAATTATTACGTCTGTTGAAAATTCGGAGATGTATCACAATTCCCACTACAGAGAACCAGAAATGTCCAAAACGACAGACAGTACAAAAATCATACATCAATAATTAATGTGCAAGGAGATCTAAATGTTTCACTAAGTACAAAAGCAGAAAGCACAATTAAAGAAATATCATTCCAGTCATTACATTGGATCAGTTGCTGAAGGTCTAATTCCCGGAAGGTCTAATTAGACCTTCGACACACATTTTGCAGT